AGGGTTATAAAATACATAAAATTATTTTTCTTCTCAGATATATGGTGTGTTCTTTATCTTCCCCTTGTTCCAAGTAATTATTTACTTAAACGGTAAACAACATGGAAGGCAGGTTGGTCAGGAGATAAGCAGTTGATCCCGTGTTTTTTGAAGAGAACTTTTTTGATGGTAGGAAGAGAAGGACAGTGCTGGTCCTGTAGTGCAGTCATGTAGTAGTGTTTGCTGTGGGACAAAAGGAAGGATCAGACTGGCAGGAAGGGACTGCAGCATGGAAGGGCGCTAAGTGCGTCACTGAGTGATAAGGGTGTTAAGTGCAGGATGGCCCACTGGATGGGTAGGGTGAGAGTGGGTTCAGGTTGTAGCTGTGGAATTGGACAGGGCTGGGCTTGTTCTAGCAGCACCATTTACTAGCTGTGCCACCCTACGCAAGTCACCTTCTCTGCTCCTCATTTCCCTTCTCTCTAAACAGTGATAATAAGAGAAGCTACCTTCTGAGGTTGTTAGGATTAACTGAGCTGGTATGTAGATGTAAAGCCCATAGGACAGTACCTAGCACATTGCATCCAACAAGTGTCAGCAAAATATTACCCTAGCCAGTCACCTGTAGCCATTATCAACATCTGTCTCCAGTTAGTCACCACCTTTGGTCAATCCCACATTTAAATATTTCTTAAAGATGATTTATCTTCTCTGCCCTCATGGCCATAGCCTTAGTGTAGAGACTTTTTAACTCTCAAATAAATTAATTCAGTTTATTCTTTTAGACAAATTTTGCTAAAATCCATCGTGCAGAATATGACCTGTTAATTTTCTAAAACGCAGATCTTGCCCTGCCACTCTCCTTAAATCCCTGTCGTGGTTTTCTGTCATCCATAAGGAATTTATAATTAACTTTCAGCATTAAAGGCGTGCAGAGTTCTTCAGAAGTTAGCCCTTGCTTGCCTTCCATCCTCATCCCTCAACAGATACTTTATGAACATCATATATTCTAATCCTTACTATACCTTTCCAAAAAGCAGTCCTCATTTTGCACAGTAGTGCAGGACTGGAACAGTGATGGTGCAAGCTGAACTACACAAAACAATCTTAATAATAGTGGGAACAACTCGAGTGTTCCCATGACCTTTGAATGTTTTTGTTAAAACATTAAAAATTCTCTTGTGAGTTACAAATGTGTACGGAAATGAAAAAACTGGTATTGATTTAGTATACTGTAATGTAAAAGATTAGATGAAGGGCTCACACCTGTAATCCCAACACTTTGGGAGGCCGAGACGGTAGATGGCCTGAGGTCAGGAGTTCGAGACCAACTTAGCCAACACGGTGAAACCCTGTCTTTACTAAAAATACAAAAATTGGCTGGGCATGGTGGCAGGCACCTGTAAACCCAGCTACTTGGGAGGCTGGGTCAGGAGAATTGCTTGAACCCAGGAGAGAGAGGTTGCAGTGAGCTGAGATCGTGCCATTGCACTCCAGCCTGGGTGACAAGAGCGAAACTCAATCTCCAAAAAAATAAAAATAAAAATAAATAAAATTAGAAGAATTGAGAATTAAAAACTTATCAAGAGTAGTTGGAACAGTGCCTGTCTTCTTCATCTTGTCATACAGTATAAGTCGGGCCTAGCATCTTTTCTATGCCTTGGTGAATTTCCATACTCCTTTCTAAGTTTGGATCAGTTTCCCATATTTCATCCTTTGTGCTTTCAGTGAGTTCCATTAATGTGAAGTTGTTTTGCTGGCATCACTTCCTCTGGGACGTCTTCATTCTTTTGCTAATTTATGTGAAGCTGACTTCACCAACTGCCTGTGGCTGCACATCCAGTGTCTCTTAGATGTCCTTCGTGTCTCCTAGATGTCATTCCCATAGTCAGCTATTTCTTCTCTAAACGTCATTTATGTTTGATTCAAATTTCACTTTGAGTTTACCAGTGTTTCATTGCTGCACTTTCATCTTTGCTGCCCACTTCCCTCTTTGGATTACCCATTTTTGTAAAATGTCAAGTGGGTTAATCACTGTGAGACATGGAGGCACCACAGCTATATGCTTTGCTGTCTGTGTATGAACTCAGATGCACAGTGACCAATCGCTGACAGACTTTGAGAGAAGTGACATGATTGGTCATGGATCATGATACACATCTGTTATTTACTCAGTGATTGGTGCACTGAAGAGCTAATGGTGAAGTTTCTTTTATGTAATTATGATTGATTAATTTACCATAGTAACTGACATTTGAGTCTTCTTATTGGCAGAATGATGTTGATTAAACTGTGGTAACTGAAATTTATGCATCTCAAAGCTGTGCAAAGCAAGGACTGCAAGTATGTTATCACCATTTTACAGTCTTAAAGGTTAAATGGCTACATGCATCATATGGCCAAAAAGTGGCAGAATTACATTAACATAACTTTTTAAATATCTTTGATATTATAAGGCACAATCTGTCTCTTGATGCTTCTGTCAAACTAAATTCTTAGGGAGTTCAAATATAAATGGATTGTCTTCAGAAAAAGCTATCGGCGTATGTAATTAGGTCCATAGGCCTATAGGAACTCTGTCTGTGCTTAGCTTGGGCTGACCATGTAAGATTGCCAAGATTTGCATAAATATCCAATTATTGTAAGGAGCTACTGAAAGCTAGCAACACACCTGACCTTATTTGAGGTTATTTTTTGGAAAGAATCAAGAGTCCTCAGCCTTGGAGTGAAGAAAGGACCAGCCCAGAACAAATAAAAAAAATCCCTGAAAAGGAAAGGAACATCCCATAGTCAAATGGAGAAAACTGGTCTAAATAGTTAGCAGTGGAGATATTGAGATATCTGGTTAGGATGAGAGATCAGCAGCAGTGGGTAAGGATGTTAATGACTGAACCTTAAGCTTCAGGGATTCAGGAATAAGTTCAATTAGTTCTTTTAGGAATAAGTTCAGTCTCTGCTCAATTCATCTGGCCAGCTGGTAGTCAGAGTCCACACTAAGTAGTCAAATTTGAGTGAATGTGTTGTAAGATACAGTCCAGCTTCTACAATAATGAGAAGGCTCAGTTTGGAGCATCTGAAATTGTACAGGGTAAAAGAGAACTGAGATACAGAAATGGACTAAAATAATATTCAGTTGTGGATCGATGAAGGCTGAGAAAAAAATAAGTTTAAAGAAAAGGAGGCTTTTTAAGTGCCTCTGAAATGCCAGGTCTTCTAGATTACTTTTACTTATTAATAATGTAATTCTTATAAACATCTTGTTAGTAGGTGTTATAGTTGTTATTTAGAACTTTTCTGAGGTTATAGAGCTAGTAAGTAATAGAGTTGGGATTTTTTGTTGTTGTTGTTAATCCAGGCCCTTTTAAATATATAACTCCTAAGTGAAAGATACCAGACTCAAACATCATGAAAAGAAAGTTATTTGGGGAGTGCATCTCTCGTTTTTGATCTTGCAAATCGTGTTGTATGGACCTTGGAATGTAATTTTCTGTAGAAATGTTTGAAAATGAATTTGATACATACCCAGTCCACACTGCAAAAGCCTATTTTTTTAATTTTTATTTTTTTGTCAGGGTCTTGCTCTGTCACCCAGGCTGTAGGGCAGTGGCACAATTTCAGTTTACTGCAGCTTCGACCTCCTGGGGCTCAAGCAATCCTCCCGCCTCAGCCTCCTGAGTAGCTGGGATTACAGGTGTGCGACACCATATCTGACTTTTTTTTTTTTTTTAAATAGAGACAGGTCTCACTGTGTTGCCCAGGCTGGTGTTAAGCCCTGGGCTCAAGCAATCCTCCTACTTTGGCCTCCCAATGAGCTGGGATTACAGGCATGAGCCACCGTGACAGATAAAGAGACACATGTAGAGACTCATAGAGATGTGCATGTAAAATAGGCCCCAAAGCCTATTTTACATGCATATCTGTGTCTCTATCTGTATATACATCTCTTTCTGTACTATGTAAAATACATGGAGTCACTGTGTGACGTATTACATTTCAAGTGCCAACTTGGGAATGGTGGAACTCTGCCTCTCACCTTGAGGACAGCCCTTCTTTGCAGCACAGTTGATGACTAGGAGTACAGGAGGCCTGTGTTTACATCTATGCAGGAATGGCATTTGCCTTCATCTCCACATGCTCCTAGAGAAGGAGCCATTTCAGCAAGTCAGTTCTCACGTATTCTAAATTTGGTAATAAAAGGACTTGATGCACTCTAGGTGCAGTTTCTCTGACCATATCAATGTTCTTAAATTTTTTTTGAGGGGAGGGGACTGTGTCCTAATCAGTAATTAAGGTTATTTTGATAGCAAGTGTTAGAAAAATGCTAATTCCAGGACTACAAGGGTATTTCACATTCTGAATTCCAGGTCTCCCAAGGGACCAGGGGCTGGAACTCCACTAGATACTACTCAGAAGCTTTGTCTGCCTCATCTGTCTCTGCTTTTACCTCTCTGACCTAGAGGTCACTTGAAACAAGCTTCCTCCTGCTCATCAGTTTCATTCCTCTCTTTCCGATGACTGTCTTTCTCTAGCCATCTGAGCCTCCTGTCCTATGTGACAGTCTCAGCTCATGTTTTTCCATCCCCTCAGTTTCAAGAGCGTGTCTGAGACCTGATTCCAGAATCCCAAAAGGCAGAGTGATGTTGACTGACCCAGCTGGAGTTAGTTAGGTATCCGTGGCTTATTAGGAATCTATCACTAGTACAATTGTCTGCTGCCCTGGGGTCCAAATCCTGCCTGTGCACTACCTGCTAGGGCCCATGCCTCTGTTGGATGGAATGGAGCAAGGATAGGGGCTGCCTGTAGAGCTGTGTCACTCACTCATATTCAGCTTTCCTGCCTCTGGCTCTCTGTCTTTTACCACTTTTTGTTTGTGTTTTGAGTGGAATCTTGCTCTGTTGCTCAGGATGGAGCGCAGTGGCTAGATCTTCTTGGCTTACTACAACCTACGCCTCGCGGGTTCAAGTGATTCTCCTGCCTGAGCCTCCTGAGTAGCTGAGACTACAGGCGCGTGCCACCATGCCTGGCTAATTTTTGTATTTTTCGTAGACACGGGGTTCACCGTGTTGGCCAGGTTGGGCTCAAATTCCTGACCTCAAGTGATCCGTTTGCCTCAGCGTACCAAAGTGCTGGGATTATAGGCATGAGGCACCACACCTGGCCTTTTACCACTTTTAAACTAAGGAAACAGTGATCACCACACATGCTCTGCTTCCAAACTATACTTTCACATCCAAAGTACCCCCAGATCATAAAGTGCTACCAGAGGTGTGATAGGAAGACTCGGGGAGACTTACTCGGAAACTGTGGGAGTTTTTTTTTGTTTTTGTTTTTGTTTTTAAAGCAAATTCATCTATTTTAATTAGCCAGAATCCTAATAGCCTGCTGATTTTTTTTTTAGATGATTACTCTGAAAACATATGCATTGGTGTGGTCTATGAGTGAGGCTCTTTTAGTCACATTCTCTGCTGCTTCATTGCAATGAAAAATAGCAAAGGTGAATACCAAATCAATTTTTTTTGTATTGTACTTCTAAAGACAGTCCATGAAGTGGTGAATGGGAGAATCAAACTTTTATGGTAATCTTTTATTGTAATCTACTTTCAGTTCAGTCAGAGAAGCAGCATAGCCTGGTGGACTAAACGAGGATGGGGAGTTTGGAGCTCTGAGATACGATCTATTTTGCAACGACTAGTTTTGTGACCTTGAGAAAGGACGTTAACCTCTGTCTATGTCTTCATATGTAAAATGGGATCTACCTGATAGAAATATAGGTGCATTCAGATTTGAGCAAACTGAATAATAAGGTCTCACATAAATCAGGAGTGATTTTTTTAAATAGCCAAAGCCTGCGGTTTATAAAAAGATTCTCCCTAGAATTCCTTTAGGACCTAACCTTTTCTCAAGTGCTTAAACTGTGATTAACAAACATTACATTATACATCCCAGTTTACAAAATATACCCGTTGAATAGAGTGAGACAAACGTGACTCTTTGTCTCATAGAATTATGACGAGAACTCAGTGAGTCTGTGTGAAATACTTCATAAACACAGCTTTGCAGGCTGCGATTAAAAAAAAAAATCCCCATACCTGGAGATTTTGGGGTGAACATTTTCCAGGATAAGAATGACATTAGTGCCAGCTGTGCTGTATTTTGTCTCTCGTGATGACATAGGTATCATCAAATTGGTCGTGGCATTGGGAGACTGGCACCATGTCATCCTGCCCCAGTCAAGAATGACTGTAGGCAGTTTCAGTTTATCTGTTGCTACTAGAATTTTGATGTAGCAGTGTCAAAAGGTTGATTTGTACTATGGAAATCTTATTCCTAGATGTGAATTCTCCAGGGGGCACAATATCCTAAAAGCTAACATGTAAACAAACTCCAAGGATTAACATAGTAGGAAGAAACAGTAGTTTATTATATATTCATGTTGAATTTAGGTAACTATTTTAGTTATTTAAAAGATTACTACCAAAGGGAAGAAATATATTTTGCTAGGTTTTGCATAGAAAAACCTGTGTCTGGCTCGAGATAGTACTTGAATTTTAATAAGAACCCAGGTTTGCTGTCTTCCCAGTGTCGACTGTACCCTGCACTGTCATGGGAGAGTGTTGGTTGATCGGTTGTGAAATAGATGGATACCCATGTTTAAATTGCTTTTCAAAGAGTCAGTTTCCCTCCACAAATATGGCAACAAAATTTTTTTATAATCCACAAATACAATTTTTCTCCATCTAAAAGAGATTTCTCCTAAACCAGCCTGAAAAATTGCTAAAAGGAATACTGCTACGCCACCTTTTCTAGGAAGAATTTCATGGCTGAGCCTCATTCTTGTACAGATTCATAGCATGTTGTTACTAACTTGTAAATATTCATTTACAGAAGAGAGTGACTAGAATCTTTGAATTCTTTTATATTGGTGTTGAAGTTTCTATCCAAGTTACACAGTTTTTCATTCATTTTAGAGGAAGATTTTCTCAAACAAGGATTCTTCGTGATTGCAAAACCTATCCCCAGAGATTCCAGTCAACATAATTCAAGCTGACCAGTGGATTCTAAGTGTGACAGTACAGTGTTCAGCAAGTCCAAGTGAAACCAGATGGAGGCCAGAGAATGTGCTTGGCTTCCCCCACATTATCTGGTTATCTATCCCAACCCTCAGCTTCGGCCAGCTTCCGGTGAATGTTAAACCAGGCTGCTGTCATCTACATATGCTTTCACACTTCAAAAGGTGTGTGTTAGTTGATATTTGGTTTAGTCATTTCATCTCTTGAGAGGAGGGATTGGTTGAGGTAATTTTTATTTCCAGTAGTATTTTATTTTATTGGATGAAATTGGTTTTATTTTTTCTGCGGAAGAGGTAAGGAAGGTTCCCGGATTATTGTATTTGGTTGGTAAACTGTCCTCTATTTCTTTCTCTTTCTCTGTCTCCATCTCCTCCTTTTCCTCTTTCCCTATTTCTTCTTCTTCTTCCTTAGGTTTATATGAAATAGAAACAGTTTTCCAGCACAATGACTAAGTGAATCGCAACATTAAAGACTGGCTGGCCAAGAAATGATTAATCTTTATATGGCAGGCTTTAGGGATCCACATCGAATACAAACATGTTGGAAATCTTTTTGTCATTCCAGCTCAACTGATTCAGAAGAATTTTAAGAGCAATAGTCAGTGCTTGGAGGAAAAAATAATACTATCGTAAATTTGAGAAGCTCTCATCTTTAACATGGCTCTTGTATGTCACAAGTTTGACAACCTTACAGAGTACATGCATGCTGTGGTTGACTTCAGAAATGTGTGTTTTAGACAGTTTTACATTAAAGTTATTATATTATAAATATAATGATTTATTAATAAGTTTAGCTTTTGTTAGGATACTTTACATATAACTACCACAATGCATTAAGAAGGAAGTGTTAAGAATTTTCATCCCACAGATGTGATGATTTAAAGTAGTGTTCCATTTGTGCAGTTAATAGAAGGAAGTGCAACAATGAAACAGAAACAAGGCGAAATCTATTCATATGGGTCCATCTTATAACCTGTTCTTGCTGGTAACTTTGGCATATTTTGTGGTAATTTTTTTTTCCTTTCTTTTTGAAGACTCAGTAGCTGTACTACTCACTCTACCAGGCCAAAGAGCCAGCATGATGGAGAGAAGAGTAGGAACCCATGTTTTAAAATTCTTTTAATGCAGATAAACATGTCAACATGATTTTTCTTTAATCAGGAACCTGTAAGAGAATTTCCATCTTGTTTGCCTTGGTTTTGGTATATGAGGTGGACTTTTTACTTAAGTGCCCTCCCTGTTCATGTTTTGAGGCTATGTGCCCTAGCTATGCCTCTGTGGTTTATCCTGAGGAGGTTTGCACAGCTCGAGTGCCAACCACTTCTCTTGGAGAAGACGGAGTGTCATAACTACAGCTAACATTTATTGATGATCCTGCACGTCTTTCATTTTAATCCTCACAGCTCCTTAAGTATTATCTCCATTTTGTAGATGGGGCATCTCTGGCTCAGGCTGAAAGATGTTAAGTAGCTCACCTAAGGTCATTTTGCCAGCTAAGTAACCAAACTGGGGTTCCAGCCCAAGCCAACTTCACCCTGTGTGGATGGTTTTAGCCAGTTCTCTCGATTTGCCTCCCAGTGAGGTGTGAGTTGTTGCCATCATTAACCCAGGCCCACCTGCTTTTGGGGTTCAGAGTTGGAACCATCTGCAGGGAAGTATAGATGAAATTATGGGGGGCGGGACAGAGCACACCCTAGTGGAGCCTCCCAAGACTCCTCATTGAGCCCAGAAAACTGAGATATGGGTTAGAATTGGCCCATTTCATCACAATGTTTCTTTCATGTTTTCTCATCTTACAGGTGATTTTTCTGGAGGAAAGATGATGAACTAAAATTTTACAACAGTTTTTGAATACTTTTCGTAACTGTCAAATCTCCGTCTGGATCCCATTAATAAGATACAAAGTTATATCCCAAAAGTATCAAATTATGTAATTCTTATTCTGATTAGTTCATTGCAACTTGTTCAGCTTCAAATAAATTAAAGATTTCATATTCTTGTGATTCTTAATTTTACAAAAGTCTCTATTTTTGAAATATTTTCTTTTTTCTCATTTATGAAAGATGGTGATTGGGGGAAAGCAAAATATTAGGCATTAAAACATTAATACTGGAGATCTATTCCAGTGTGATTACCAAATGCATCTATTTTGATACTTACAAAGGAGGCTCCCCCCCTTTTTTTTTTTTTGGAGACGGAGTCTTGCTTTGTTGCCCAGGCTGGAGTGCAGTGGCTTGATCTCGGCCCACTGCAACCTCTGCCTGCTGGGTTCAAGCAGTTATCCTGCCTCAGCCTCCTGAGTAGCTGGGACTACAGGCGCAGGCAGCCACACCCGGCTAATTATTATTATTATTATTATTATTTTTGTGTTTTAGTAGAGACGGGGTTTCACTGGGTTGTCCCAGCTGATTTTGAACTCCTGAGCTCAGGAAATCCGCCTGCCTTGGCCTCCCAAAGGGCTGGGATTACAGGCGTGAGCCACTGCACCCTGTGGGGGCTTTTAAAGAGGAAGTGAAGGGTAACTCATCTGTATCCTACTTTACGTGCCCCACCCAAGTCCAACTCCCACTGCCTGTCTTCTAAGGGGCATCTTGTGGCGTGTTCTCTGCTCGGCTCATATTCAGCCTCTGTGGCCCTCATGCTTTCTCATGGATTCACAGTGATGACTCTCAAACTTACATTTCCAGCCCTAACCTCCTCTGTAATCATTTGCTAACGACAAGATTGTGTTAAAGGAACCAACAAAGGTTCTTCTATTAGATGTAGTTGAAAAAGCAGAACTGTTGCTCTGGCCTAAACATTAGCTTTGTAGAGGTTTAAATTTTGTTTAGAAGTTATAAATGAGCTTAATATCATGTGACTTGCATGATAAGTTATTTTAAAGAGTTTAAATCTATGATCGTTCAAAATAAATATGTTGTTTTATTTTCAATATAATATGGTTCTTAATTGTAACACTAATGAACGCTGAAGACATTTTTAAGATTCATTCATGTAAAGTGATTTGATGAAGTAAGGTGACATTTGATGGACTTAGTGGAAGTTTAGACCCAATTTGCATTTTAGTGGTATTTTATGGCTGACTTTAGAAAACTTTTTAGATAGGATTTCTTGGTAAATTAAAGGATTTAGAGGGATGATTATGAAATAATTGATTAAAAAGTGTGCAATATTGGTTTTGATTGAACTTAAGCTTATATGGGTTCAATTTAAAACCTAATTCAATACATTTTAGAGTTTATATTTCCCCAAACCTCTTTTGCCATATTAATTTTGTCATGCTTGTCATTCTAATCTAATGATGATTTAATGTTTGCAAACCTGAATAAATTTGTATGCAAGGAGTTTTGCTGTGTTTTTAATCAATGAAGATTGAAATTTGGCAACTGAGATGATAAATGAAAAATTTTAAATAGAAAATGAAAATAATGATTATACTTTAGAAAGTACTCTTATTAATGTTCTTGGCTATGAACCATGTAATATTTTTCTCTTCTTTTTATCGTGTAATATTTTGAAGGTGACTGAACCTTAAAAGAAGTAATTACCACTAAATCGTGAAGAATGTTTAGATTAGAACAGATTCTTTGTCCTCACTGTCTTCCCCTTTCCCTGAAATCTGTAGTCTAGAGTTGTAAATAAGAACCAGAAAAATGTTAAACTGCTTTTTAAAAACTCATCTACCCTCCCCAAGTACCTACATAGACAATAGAATGTTCTGTAATGAAGTGTATCTTTACCTCATTATTTATTTATTTTATTGAGCAATAAATGTAGAACATAGAATGTCTAATGAATTAGTCACAATAAAAAAAATTTCCTGGGTTATATATCTAAGGAGCAGCAGCTCCTCCTCTATCAGTCCAGGAGAGCCTGGTCTGATTTCACATTACTTTTCTTTCCACATGATCTCATGACACTAAAAGACGATTAATACATTTTAAAAGTCAATATGGGACATTTTATTGTAGTCCTTCACCTTTATTGTTCAGTGCCCTTCAGGGGTGAAAGGAGATATTCCAATGCAAAAAATATGTCTGAAAACCTGAATGATAAGTAATAAAAGTTTTTTTTCTTTTAAAAATTCTTATAAAATTGTTATTTCCCAGATTTGAGGGGTGGACTTTGGGGTGGAATAAAAAAAATGAGTGTAATCATTTGTAAGGACAAAATGTGAATTTTTATGAAGAATGTTTTAGCATAATACCACAAATGTAGTATACACAGAGCAAACTTTAAAAAAAAGATGTGAAAATTTACAAGACCAGTAATCCTCTATTTCATGTACCAGCAGTCAAAATTATGTGTGATTGGCTGGGTGCAGTGGCTCACACTTGTAATCACAGAGCTTTGGGAAGCTGAGGTGGGAAGATTGCCTGAGGTCAGGAGTTTGAGATCAGCCTGGGCAACAGCAAGACCCCTTCTCTACAAAAAATAAAGTTAGCTGGATGTGATGGTGTGTGCCTGTAGTCCTACCTATTTCGGGGGGCGGGGTAGGGATTTCAGGTTGCAGTGAGCTGTGATCTTGTCACTGCACTCCAGCCTGGGTGACAGAGTCAGATCCTGTGTCTACCAAAAAAATAAAAATAAAAAAATTAGATGTGATTAAGGATACCAAAAAATTATTCAGATACCTTAGTGGAAGCTTTGGCTGAATAGAAGTTCCATCTTTTGAAGTGCTGAAACCAAGTGAAGGGATTACATAGTTGACATCTCTGAAAGAGAGAAAGCAATGGTGATGAGAATACCCCCGCTACATTTGTGTATGAGCCTTGGCAGTTTCTTTTACACTCTCTCATTTAATCCTCTAAGACCTGAGACGTTGTTGCGGCAAGTGGAATTATTCTGCATTTTATAGATGAAGAAATGGACTTGGAATAATTAAGTTATTTACAGCTAACCTGCATCCCCAGATCTCTTGACCTAGCCCCCCTGCGCCCTGCCTTTGCCTCAGAGTGTTTTTAATGTGCTGCATTGCATGGTCTTTTTATTCGTTTTATTTTATGCATCATAGTTAACACTAAACTGAAAGTTTGCTGCTAAGACCTGTATTATTTTATATTCCCAATGAATATGACTTCTGCATAAGAACTTTTAACTAGGGTAATCATTTTATAGTATGTGCCTGTCATCCCTGCTAAATCTGTCACCTTCATGTGAAGACAGAGAAAATAGAATATGCTGTGTATTCAGAATAATTTCTGCTTTACCATGACGTATGCTAGATTCTAACATTTATATATGAGAGAGGCTTCTTAAATGTTACGTTTTCTGTTGCCGTGATTTCCGTGTTATCTGTGCTGTCTGCACAGTGAGGACAGCCGCAGAGACACTGCCAGTCTCATGAAGTGTTCATTGTGAAGGCCCATGTGTCAGTGCTGCTGATGGCATGGAAGAATTGGTCAGTAGGAGGGTGAAGAATATGGGCTCTGGAATGGACGGTGTCTGGCTTCCAATCTGGTGCTCTCACTTAGTTGGTGTGGGACCTCTCGTCTCCATTGCCAATGCAAGTTTTTGATTCTTTCTTTCCAAATTAGTAAATTCTTCACCTTTCTGTCCTTGGAATCTTCTCCTTTCACTTCAAACAACTCACCTGTCTTTATCCTGAAAAGTTTATCCTTTACTAAGTTCCCTCATTGGCAGCAACCCTGTTTTCCCCTTTCTATTATTATTATTATATTTATTTATTTATTTTTTTTGAGATGGAGTTTCACTCTTGTTGCCCAGACTGGAGTGCAATGGCACAATCTTGGCTCACTGCTACCTCTGCCTCCCGGGTTGAAGCGATTCTCCTGCCTCAGCCTCCTGAGTAGCTGGGATTACAGTTGCCTGCTACCATGATGGGCTCACTTTTGTATTTTTAGTAGAGATGGCGTTTTACCATGTTGGCCAGGCTGGTCTTGAACTCCTGACCTCTGGTGATCAGCCTGCATCAGCCTCCCAAAGTGCTGGGATTACAGGTGTAAGCCACTGTGCCCGGGCCCCCTTTCTATTATCCAACATCTCAAATGTGCCGTTCATCACATTTTTGGGGTGGTGGTTAGACACAATATAGTTAACGTATTTAAATAAACACTTTGTATTTCCCCTGAGTGAACATTTCATCCAAAACCTATGTCACTTTCTTGCTTAAAAACCAATAAAGCTAATGTTTCTCAAGTCATCATATATGAGTAGCATGCAAGCTCTGGACGCAGCTGTTCCTCTAGAGACTACTATTGCACTCCTTACAAGCCTCTAGAGCTCTAGTGAAGAGTAATGTTAGATTGTTTCGGGGTTTGGTCAACCTTTCCTAAGACTCAGTGGGCAGCAAGAGTTAATGTGCCAAGAAGCAGAAGCTAAATCCAGATTGCAATATGCTACTCATTCTGAATCTGTATGGGAATGCCTCTGTGAGTCAGTGTTGTGGGAATGTCCTGGGATGGCTTAGTTAATACTTTCTAATGGGATTTAAATAGTCAGTACATTTCTCCTTTTGAATTTGTTTCTTAATGATCTGTTGCACTTTTGGATAAGATACAGCTTGCTTTATAGAACAGAAAAACATTGTCATTCATACATGATGTAGCTTTATGATCATGATTTAAAGCTACCAGCTTTGTGGGAGGAAGATAGTGAGAATGGCCATGACAGCTTTATACCCAAGAAGACCTCCTTCCTTACTAGAGGCACCGTGCTGTCCTCAGATACTCCTGAGGTGGGTCAGGATGGGATAATAATTACATTAACTCCCAAACTACCCTGTGCTGGACTTTTTTTTTTTTTTTTTTGAAGTTATAGCTCTATGGAACTATAAATGAAATATAGTAAGTGGGAAATATTTAAGATATATAATTTGATATGCTTTGACATATTCACAGTAGTCCCCTCTTACCTGCATACTCGTTTTTTGTAGTTTCAGTCCCCTGTGGTCCAAAAACATTAAATGGAAATCCGGAAGCAAATAATTCGTAAGTTTTAAATTGTGCACTGTTCTGAGTAGTGTGATGAAA